TTATTCTAGCCGAAATAAAACAAATTATACTTTCTCAAGAAAAAAAAAATATCTGACATACTGTGAAAATTTCCTTACTCTGATAAACGTAATTTGGGAAATATTAAAACAAAGAAATAAAATTAAAAAAAAAAAAATCAAAGGGAGGCTTATAATTCTGACTACAGCTGTAGATCAGAAAACTGGATGAAGTTGACTTAATAAAGCATACACATATACATAACATACACACATAGCATACACTCATACACACATACATAACATATACAAATACATAACATAAACTCTCAGGTAAGCAAACTGTCACTAGGGTGGTACCTCTTCAAAAGGTGCAAATTTATACATAAAAGGTCTATATTAATACCTAAAAGGTACATTTTAGTACCTAAAAATGACAACAGTGTTCCTCTTTAAATTTTTAGGTACTAATATATACTTTGATCGACCAATATGGACCCTTTAAGTACAAATGTGAAACTTTTGAAGATACCACCCAAGTAACAGATCGCGTACCTTTATTTCTGAGAGTGTAAGTAATTCTAATCATATGCCTGCATAATAAGATATTCATTCATTCATTTCCCTTCAGCTTAGTCTCTAATTTATCAGGGGTCACCACAGCAGAATGAACCACCAACTATACCAACATATGTTTTAATTCACAAATACCGCATGTCATTGGACTGTGGAGGAAACCGAAGCACCCGGAGGAAACACAAACATGGAGAAAACATGCAAACCCCACACAGAAATGCCAAATCCCAAACTTGAACAAGCGACCTTCTTGCTTTGAAGTGACAGTTCTAGCCACTAAGCCACCATGCTGCCATAATAAGATATTCATTCATTCATTCATTTTCTTTTCGGCTTAGTCCCTTTATTAATCCGGGGTCGCTAAAGCGGAATGAACCGCCAACTTATCCAGCACATGTTTTACGCAGCAGATGCCCTTCCAGCCGCAACCCATCTCTTGGAAAAATCCATACACACTCATTTACACACATACACTACGGATAATTTAGCCTACCCAATTCACCTATACCTCATGTCTGTGGACTGTGGGAAAAACCGGAGCACCCGGAGGAAACCCACTTTCTGAGTGCTTCGGTTTCCCCCACAGTCGAAAGACATACGCTATAGAGGAATTGAATAAACTAAATTGGTCGTAGTGCATGAGTGTGAATGTGAGTGTATGGGTGTTTCCCAGTGATGGGTTGTGGCTGGAAGGGCATCATATGACAGAGTAATGGGTGGTTTATTCCACTGTTGTGACCCCAGATAAATAAGGGACTAAGCCAAGGGAAAATTAATGAGTGAAAGAATGAACTTTTTGGTAATGCTTAATAAATGATTTATAATGTGTAGCTATCACAAAGTGGTACCTTAAGTTTTATAAATAAGCAAGTTTGTATTAACAGCTTGAATTATAGGTTTTAATTCTGCATTTCATACTTATTTAAGGTTTTAGTTATTTCTGTTATTTACAAAAAAGTTCCATTTTCTAAAGTTAGTTGTATTTATAAATGGATTAACTAGCATAAGAAAAAAAAAAAACAATACATTTAGCATAAGACTTATTAATCTGTTAATATTAATGCAAATAGAATAGAATAATACATTACCTTTTATAACTTTTTATTTTTTTATTTTATTTAATGATACATTAAGTTTTTAACTTTTTATATCGGGTGGCAAGGTGGCTCGATGGTTAGCACTGTCGCCTCACAGCAAGAAAGTGGCTGGTTCGAGTGCCGGCTGGGTCAGTTGGCATTTCTGTGTGAAATTTGCATAGTTCTCCCCGTATTGGCATGAGTTCCCTCCAAAGACATGCGCTATAGGTGAATCGAATAAACTAAATTGTCCATAGTGTTTGTATATAAATGAGTGTGTATGGGTGTTTTCCAGTACTGAGTTGCAGCTTCAAGGGCATCCACTGTGTAAAACCATAGACTGTAAAATATATGGACGTAGTATCCATGACGTCACCTATAGGTTTCTGAAGAGCGCAAAAGAAGCCACAAGTAGGCGCGGCCAACCGTCGCCATTTTGTTCGCGTGTCATCACACTCACGGCAGGATACCAAACAAGGGCAAAGAGGCGGAGAGTGAGCGGAGCTACAGACACCTGCTGGCATTTAGCTTGGACCTGGTTCAGACACACTTTACTTTGGGAGAACGCTTAATACTTTATCACCTGTGACTCGTTTGTAGTATGACCAATTGTGCTTGGACCAACGAGACCAAGCTGTCACTCAAGTGGCCACTCCCTTAATTATGCAAACTTAATATAACTTAATATAAAGGAAACGGATGAGTTCTAAAAAAAATTTACCCCCTCACAGTTGTCATGAAGGGTAATATTAGCTGTATTAACCAAAATCTTTTTTTGTACCAGGCTGTAAACACCTTTTTTTCTGCTGTAAAGTTGGCCATTCTAACAATGGGCTCAATTGAAATTTGCCCTGTTATGGAGCCAGGAGCAGCCAGGACTAGCGGAATTTCGGATGAATTGCAGTTTTAGTTACTTCCGTATTGGCTTCCTGAGGGAGAGCGGGAGGTTGCCGCTTGTGTAAAACATATGCTGGACAAGTTGGCAGTTCATTCCGCTGTGGCAACCTCTGATGAATAAAGGCACTATGCCAAAGGAAAATTAATGAATGAACTTTTTATATCAAATATTATATTATTAAATATTTAAACTTTATTTTATTCCAGCCAAGATTCATTTGAGGTACTTTAGTTAGGTATAGTTTTAGTTTCAGTTCTAGTAGATTTTACTAATTAATAATCATCAGCCTGCAGTCTCACACATACAGTATCAGACACATTTATTCAATTTCTTTTCGGCTTAGTCCTTTTATTAATCTGGGGTCGCCACAGCGGAATGAACCGCCAACTTCAGCATGTTTTTACACAGCGGATGCCCTTTCAGCCACAACCCATCACTGGTAAACATTCATTTACATTCATTCACACTCATACACTACGGACAATTTAGCCTACAAAATTCACCTGTACGGCATGTCTTTGGACTGTACGGGGAAACCGGAGCACCCAGAGGAAACCCATGAAAACACAGGGAGAACATGCAAACTCCACACAGAAATGCTAACTGATCCAGCAGAGGCTCGAACCAGCAACCTTCTTGCTGTGAAGCGACAGCACTACCTACTGCACCACTACGTCACCGTATCAGATACATGTTTATGTAAATTACAATCTATTATAATTGATTGCAAGATGATCTACATTAGAGGTGACCCACTCTGTTCCTGGAGATCTACCTTCCTGCAGGTTTCAGTTGCAACCCATATCAAACACACCTGTCTGTAATTATCAAGTGCTGTTCAGCTCTCAATTCATTGGTTCAGGCGTGTTTGTTCAAGGGTTGGAGCTGAAATCTGTAGGAAGGTAGATCTCCAGGAACAGGGTTGAGTGCCCTTGATCTAGATATACATAATCTATAACATCTATAAAACACTAACTACATGAAATTTACTGCAGTTGCATCTAATAAATTAATGAGTTAGTAAGTTAATAAGTCTTTCAGGAATCTTTATTCACTTTAACTAATCTAGTTCATTTGATCAATTCTTAAGCTTTATGAAAATATGCGTGAATACCGAATGCTGGAAGGAAAAAAAAAAACAAATAATTGAAATGAATGATGCTGGTGCAATGTAAACAACACTGACTGCTAGAGATAAGAATCAAGTTCAGCACAAAAGGAAATCATAGCCAAATGGTAAATAGCATAAATAGATCTTATCATCCTGGTTCAGAAGTTCACTTACTGTGTGTTGCAATATTGTAGCGCTTCTACTTCATGTCAACAAATAAATATACTCAAAACAAACGCTTGGGTATTTTAGCTCAGATGTATATTAAATATAAATAATTTGTCAATAGAATTTATTATTAGATGTACAATTATTAGACTTACAACCTACAATTCTAGTATGTACAGCAGGGATGGGCAAATATGATCCATGAGGGCCGATGTCCCTGCAGAGTTTTGCTCCTGCACTAATCAAACACAGCTGAACAAACTAATCAGTGTCTTCAAGATAACTACAAGGCTACAGACAGAGTTTGATTATGGCTGGAGCAAAACTATGCAGGACACTGGCCCTCATGGATCATGTTTGCTCATCTCTGCTATACATGCTAGAATTGTAGGTTGTAAGTCTAATAATTGTTCATCTAATAATAAATTATATATGAAAATGTTAAAAAAAAAATATATATATATTTAATGTATATCTGAGCTAAAATAAGCAAGCTTTTATTTAGAGTATATTTATTTGTTGACATGCAGTACAAGCGCTTTTGAAGAGTTTGCCCATCCCTGATGTATAGGGTTCCTGCTCTAGCATAAACATCAGATTTAAGGACATTTTAAAGCACTTACCAGCCATGAAAGGTCTGTAATATTTCACCTATCATCTGCAGTGCTTTCAAAATTGTCAGATTAATACATTTTTTACATTTTTGAGCAGTTGTGGTTAATTAAATTAATTCAAGTCAATGGCGTTAAAGTTGCTAATAATTAAATACCACACAATTTCTTTAATATTGATGAAAAAAAGTGTAGTTTGTTGAATATTTTTTTTACTTTGTTTAAAAAAATCTTAAATGTGAAGTAATTTTACGTTTTTAGAGAAGTTTGTTAAATCACTGACAAATTTGTTAAATTTCATGACACAGCAATTAAAATGCTCTCTGGGTCGCAATCAGGCGTTATTTTAGACACTCAAAGTTTGAGATGATTTGAAAAATTTGAGATGATGAAACTAGTCTAAAATATGTTAAATAATGAAAATAGCTGGTATCCTGACATACCAAGATGGGAAAGGAGCAGACGTGTCCATCTCTAAACATGACTAAAATTAAAGTACTTTCAATAAGCGTGGGAAGCCAGTTTTAATGTCATAAAGGGACAATCTCAAACATACAAACAAACAAACATTTCTGATAGACATAATCCCATAATGCTCTTACCCATTTCATGAAACAGAGAGCCTTGTTTTAATGTCACTGACACTGTTTTTCTCGCCGACGGTTCCTCAATCTTCATGAGTTCCTCACAGCACTGCTTCCACTGACCTACAGACACAACAATTAATAAACACATTATTCCACAAATTCATTATTGAAAAGTAAATTTTACTTGTAGCTTTACACTGTAAAAAATGCTGTGTTCCACACAATCCCTTCATGTTGAGAAAATGCTAATTTACATATATTTTTTACAGTGCATGCGAGTAAAACAGAAAGCAAAGTACTTGACAAATAAACTTTATGTCAAACACAATTTAAGTGATCTAAAATTAAAGAACAGCAATGATTGTAGAATATAAAGATTACACAGAACAGAACTCACTAGTGTCTGACAGAAATCAGTTTATCACATCACTAGTTTTTTTTCACTGGACATTGGGGATGTCAAAATGAATTGTTTCTTCAGTGCACCGCGATGCAGACGCAGACAATTCGGTATTGGTTCAGGTTCGAGGGAGGCGAGTGCAAGTATTTACAATGCTTCAAGCTGCGCACAATTTCACTGCGTGTGTGTTTGCTGGACAGTCTTTAACTGACACAGCAAAAGCTCCTGTTTCACAGCGATTGAGAAAATAAAAGTACTCCTTCCTCTCTCTAAGGGACCCATTTGTACCTTTTTAAAGGTACAGTTCATATGTCTGACTTTTTGTATTAAAGGACAAAGATGTATTACAAATAGTATATAAATATATTTATACATTAATTTTAATACCAGAATTGCGGTGCAGTAAAGAACATATTACATTGTGTATAGAAAACATCAACAATGCATCGAATTGAGCCGAACTGATGGCATAATAATCGCAACCGAACCATGACACCAGTATAGGTTCACACCTCTACTTGACATCGCTAGTATCTCACTGGACATCACTAGTTTCCCACTGGACATCACTAGTTTCTCACTGGACATCACTAGTTTCTCACTGGACATCACTAGTTTCTCACTGGACATCACTAGTTTCTCACTGGACATCACTAGTTTCCCACTGGACATCACTAGTTTCTCACTGGACATCACTGGTTTCTCACTGGACATCACTGGTTTCTCACTGGACATCACTAGTTTCTCACTGGACATCACTAGTATCTCACTGGACATCACTAGTATCTTACTGGACATCACTAGTTTCTAACTGGACATGACTAGTTTGTCACTGGACATCACTAGCTTCTCACACAACATCAATAGTATCTCACTAAACATCACTAGTATCTCACTGAATATCACTAGCTTCTCACACGACATCACTAGTATCTCACTAAACATCACTAGTATCTCACTGGACATCACTAGCTTCTCACACTACATCACTAGTTTCTAACTGGACATGACTAGTTTCTCACTGGACATCACTAGCTTCTCACACGACATCACTAGTATCTCACTGGACATCACTAGTATCTCTCTGGACATCACTAGCATCTCAAAGAAATCACTAGAATCTCACTGGACATCATTAGTTTTTTACTAGACAATCAATAGTTTTTCAAGGAAATCACTACAATTAGACTGGACATCATTAGTCTCTCACTAGACATCACTAGTATCCCACTGGACAACACTAGAATCACACTGTACATCATAAGTTTCTCACTGACCATCACTAGTATCTCACTTGACATCACTAGTCTCTCACTGGACATCACTAGATTTTCGAAGAAATCACTAGAATCTCACTGTACATCACCAGTATATCTTGACCCTGTTTATATCTACATCTCCTCAATTCACAATTTCAGTAAAAACAGGAAATGTTTTCTAGAATTTAAACAGAATTGCAGACAACTATAGATTTGACCACCATTTCCAGATTAACACCAACAACTCTAAGCATCTCAAAGTGTCTAATTTTGATGTTTTATAGTATGCTTCACTATGGAATATGAGTAAAACTGCTGTCAGGATTATTCTTGTTATATAGCAGTGACATGGAAATTTAGGAAATTATAGGTTTCTCTCTAATTTAGGCTTACGAACAGAAGTCGTTTTCTTAAATATAAGTTTCAACACAACTGTGAAAAACACAAAAGACATTTTGAGGATGCAGACCATAAAAACATCAATCTTGCACGCCATGTAATAAACACCAAGCCTTTAAAGACCTGCAATCTTGCTGAAGCACGCGTTCTTTCTGGAAACACAATACTAGCTGGTGTCTACATATTTGAGTAAGCTATGCAATGAATTTCAAGCTTTCTGGAAAACTACGACCTAAACTTCTAAGAAAAGCCTCTCGGTTTAATTTACAGTGACTTTGCAGCAAACAAACAGCATGCTTTCCAACTTATGACACAAAAGCCACCAGACAGGGATTTAAAACAAATAAAAAGCACAGACTAATAATCTCCTGACATCACTGGGGAGAAACCAAAGCTGACAGGACAGAAACCAGACGGATCAACTGTCTCAACTGTATATATCCTTATCTTTAAGAAGCGCGGCGATTGCACAACGTCATTGCAAGCCGAGATAAAGGTACTCTTTCCAGTTGCCCAAACAAACAAAAAATCATATGCAGTTTTGTAACTAAGCGCAGAAGAATCTTTTCTAGGAGGAGAAGTCTTTTGAACATGAAGGCCTTGATGTTATGAAATTGATCTTTTGCATTCAATAAGGTTGTTATTCTACTGAAAGTCTGAAAAAAAAGCAGTCAAATAAACCGCATAGATGTGCAAATTATTACAAAAAGTAAACAAACAAAGCAAAATCTGGAAAATATTAATCTTGTGTTGTGTGCTGTTGGGGATGTTTTCAACCACTCTGGGGGGATTTTAAGTCTTAATTTGCCCACAACTTTCAGCAAATGGAATGACTTTTGTGACAAATCTTATTTTGACATATATTTTGGGAAAATGCTTTAAAAGCTTTCAAAAACTCTATACACTCTGTATAGACTCTATACACTCTGGGCTATTTTTACCCAATTGATTTCAAATATGATGACATTTTTTGATTGCAAAGCCATGACAGCATTTGCATTCTTGGTTGTTGCTGTTTTTCCTTGTTTGAGAAGAGGTCAAATTGGTAATTTACTGTTGATCATCAGTTACAGTGCAAAAAAAAAGTTAGTTTCTGGCTTTCAACAGTAAAAACTTGCCAACTAGAGAAACCAAAATCAAGAAAGCATGATTATTTGGTGTCATGGCTTTGCGATCAAAAAATGTGGCTATAATGGAAAGAAATGGGGCAAAAACAGTCCCAAACATACTGTAACTAAAGAACAGTAAACAAGGGTTAACCTTTAATTGTTTTTCATTATTTTTTCTAAAATAATCAATATGCCTGTTTTTCAAATCAATTATTATACACAATAATATAGACTTTCATAGCTCATAAACTACTATTGAAAGCAGATGTGTTCTGTATTTTTGGCTATGGGTAAAGAATTCCTCTGGTCTTCATTTAGTTGATGTATGTTAACAAACTCATTCTTTGCTGTCAAACCTGAACAAAGGAAGGGTTGTGCTCTGTGGGCCGATTTTTGCGCATACAATGTTTGTATTGAGCTTAATAAATGCGAGTTAAAACGAGGTGACGCCATAGGACAGATATAACACATCAGATAAGTAGTGCAACCATTTATACAGAATGTTAAATTGACACCTTAAAAAAATCTGGTAAGTTACTTTAGATTTAGTGAATTAAAATATATGTATTATATACATAAATATTGCACATGTATATAATACATATATACATATAATACATATATAATACATATCCACATGTTCTTGTATTAAAAATACTTCATTAGGGTTTAATGCAAATTATTAGTTATAATCAATTAGAATTCAACGGATCAATTAAATATATTGTATTTATCATTTTATTTCAGTTTTCTGACATTAAAATCTCAAATTTTTTCAATTTGATCAACAAAATAACTTAAAAAAGTTGCACTATTAAGAATACATTAAAAATGAACAAACAATACAAAAATGACCAAAACACACATCAAAATACACTACACACATAATACACTTACACTAAACACTGTTAAGATTGGGCTATTAGAAAGCAAATCAATGTTCAATCAAGCTTTAAATAAAGATTATTGTATAATAAATACATAGAAATTAAGCTAAAATCTATTTTGTTGCACAAAATAAGCAATAATTGAAGTTTAAAAATTTTTTTAAATACAAAGCAAAGAAACTAGTTTGAATATATTGTTATTGCATTATATACAGTGAAACTGTTTTGTCTGACTGTGTTTTTTGGGAAGGCCAATGAGGAGTCCAGCACAGTAATCCAGCCTACTGGTGATAAAAGCATGGACAAGTTCTCACTGGAAACAAAGCATCTAATTCCTCCAATGTTTTGAGATATAGTATGCTGACTTAGTTACTGCTTTGACATGACTATTGAAACTTAGATCTGACTTCAGAATCACACCAAGATAAAAAAAAATAAAAGTAAAAAACATTTAAAAAAGTGTTTGCATTTATACTTTGTAAGAATGAAACACTTTATGATGCAAAGATATATCTATAAATACATGTAAAATAACAGTACAAATCACGTTACAGTTAATTTCTACCAACAACAGCATTTTTAGCAGTTTTGAGCAATGTCATCTTACTATGGTCATATACAGTGGGTGACACTTTAAAAGGACCATTACTGCCGCGTGTGGCCCTGCCGTGACACTAAGGGATTAAGAACATGTTTTTAGGGGTAACGGTAGTTTGCGACTATGCTGCCAAGGGGCAGAAAGGGACGAGATGCAAATGGACAGAAATATACAGTAGCTCTAAATACCCTGCTACTTGTAAATGAAGATGAAAAAACAAAGCAAAGCCTTTAATTCCTTCATTGATCATAAAAAATAGTTAACAAGCCTTATCTTCATTGCAAACTTGATAAGTGCAATGATGATTCATTTTGGAAAGTAAAATTAGAGAAATAAAAGAAAACTAAAATGAAAGTACAAACATACATAATTACATACACAAATTAATAAATAAACAAACCAGTGTTAGTATAAATATAGAGGGGTGTACAGTGTTTGTTATTTTAAAGGGATAGGACAAAGACAATT